GATGCTGCTTGGCCTGCTGTGTTCATCTAGCTCTACACCTTGTTATCTCAGATTCTCCAGCATCTGCAGTTCCTACTATCCCTGGTTCAATGACATTGGACTCTGTCAGTACCACAGGTCGTGGCTAGAGGGAGACAGAGGGCTGTGACTCTGACCGTCCGACCATTCGCCCAACCTCCCCACCACCACCCAGGCTGCTGCTGGGAGCGTTTGCTGAGCTGTTACAGGCTTGGTCAGATATTAAAGACCAGGTTAAAGTTATAGTTATAAATTGGAGAAAGGCCAATTTTGACAGTATTAGGCAAGAACTTTCAAAAGTTCTTGGGGGGGGGGGTGTCAGATGTTCGCAGGTAAAGTGACAGCTGGAAAATGGAAAACATTCAAAGATGAGATGAGAGTCCCAGAGACATTGTTACCTTTAGCGTGAAGGGCAAGGCTGGTAGATGCAGGGAATGCTGGATGACTAGAGAAATTGAGGCTCTGATCAAGAAAAAAATGGAGGCATATGTCAGGTATACCCTCTAGAAGGGTATAAAACCAGTAGGAGTATACTTAAGGGGGAAATCAGGAGGGCAAAAAGTGGACATGAGATAGCCTTGGCAAATAGGGTTAAGGAAAATCCAAATAGGTTTTACAATTTTTTTTCTTTATTCATTCACGGAACAAGGGTGTCGCTGGCTAGGCAGCATTTATTGCCCATCTCAGAGGGCAGTTAAGAGTCAACCACATTGCTGTGGGTCTGGAGTCACATGTAGGCCAGACCAGGTAAGGATGGCAGTTTCCTTCCCTAAAGGGCATTAGTGAACCAGTTGGCTTTTTCCAACAATTGACAAAGGATTCACAGTCATCACTAGATTCTTAATTCCAGATATTTTATTGAATTCAAATTCCACCGTCTGCCATGGCAGGATTCAAAATGAATCCCCAGAATGTTATCTGGGTCTCTGGATTAACAGTCCAGTGATAATACCACTAGGCCATCTCCTCTCATATTTTACAAATACGTTAAGGACAAAAGAGTAACTAGGGAGAGAATAGGACCCCATAAAGATCAACAAGGCCACCTATGTGTGGAACCAGAGGAGATGGGTGACAGACTAAATAATTATTTGGCATCAGTGTTTATTGTGGAGAATGGTATGGAAGATAGAGAACGTGGGGAAATAAATAGTGATAACTTGAAAAGTGTCCATATTACAGAGGAGGAGGTGCTGGATGTCTTAAAACACATAAAGATGGATAAATCCCCAGGGACCTGATCAGGTGTAGCTCAGACCTCTGTGGGAAGTGAGGGAAGTGATTTCTGGGCCTCTTGTTGAGCTATCTATCATCAATTTGAATCCTGCCATGGCAGTAGTAAGGGCGTGGAATGCCCTGCCTGCAAAAATAGTAGACTCGCCCACTTTAAGGGCATTTAAATGGTCATGGGATAAACATATGGATGATAATGGAATAGTTTAGGTTAGATGGGCTTCAGATTGGTTTCACAGGTCGGCGCAACATCGAGGGCCGAAGGGCCTGTACTGTGCTGTAATGTCCTATGTTCTATGTTCTAATAGCCACAGGTGAGGTGCTGAAGACTGGAGGTTGGCTACTGAGGTGCCACTATTTTAAAAAGGTGGTAAGGAAATGCCAGGGAACTATAGACTGGTGAGTCTGACATTGGAGGTGGGCCAGTTGTTGGAGGGAATCCTGAGGGACAGGATTTACATGTATTTGGAAAGGCAAGGACTGATTAAGGATATTCAACATGGCTTTGTGCGTGGGAAATCGTGTCTCACTAACTTGATTGAGTTTTTGAAAAAGTGATGCAGAAAATTAATGAAGGAAGAGCAGTGGGCCTTGTCTATATGGACTTCAGCAAGGCATTCGACAAGATTCTGCATGGTAGACAGGTTAGTAGGGTTAGATCACATAGACAACATGGAGAGCGAGCCATTTGGATACAAAATTAGTTTGAAGGAGAGAGAGGGTGTTGGTGGAGGGTTGCTTTTCAGACTGGAGGCCTGTGACCGGCGGTGTGCCACAAGGATCGGTGCTGGGTCCACTGCTTTTTGTCATTTATATAAATGATTTAGATATGAAGATAGGAGGTGTGGTTAGTAAGTTTGCAGATATCAGCAAAATTGGTGGTGTAGTGGACAGCGAAGAAGGTTGCCTTGTAGTACTATGGAATTTTGATCAGATGGGCCAATTGGCCAAAGAATGGCAGATGGAGTTTATTTTAGATAAATGGGAGGTGCTGCATTTTGATAGGACAAATCAGAGCAGGACTTATACACTTAATGGTAAGATCAAAGACACCTTGGAGTTCAGGTTCATAGTTCCTTGAAAGTGGAGTCCCAAGTAGACAGAGTGGTGAAGAAGGCATTTGGTACGGTTCCTTTATGGGTCAGGATATGGAGGTGCTGGTGTTGGACTGGGGTGGACAAAGTCAGAAATCACATGACACCAGGTTATAGTCCAACAGGTTTATTTGAAAACACAAGCTTTCGGAGCCTCACTCCTTCTTCAGGTCTTAGTGAGAGATGTAGTACCAGACACAGAATTGAGAAGTAAAAGATCAAAGGGTCACACCACTGATGAGGATGTACTAAATGAACCTAAGATGCTGTTAAATCTTTAATCAATTAGAAGGTTTAAATTGATTAATATGTAAATGTAAATCCCCAAATTATAAAACACCACATTGTATGCTTTTTGAACAAAATAGAATGTCTCTGCAAATACAAATTCATCCCATGGATTGTGTGTGTGTGTGTGTGTGGAGGGGTGAGAGTTGGTGGGGAGACAGAGAGAAAGAGTGTGTGCGGGAGAGAGAGTGTGTGTTTGTGTGTGTGTGTGTGTGTGTGGAGGGGTGAGGGTTGGTGGGGAGACAGAGAGAGGAAGAGTGTGTGCGGGAGAGAGAGTGTGTGTTTGTGTGTTTGTGTGTGTGTGGAGGGGTAGGGGTTGGTGGGGAGACAGAGAGAGAAAGAGTGTGTGTGGGAGAGAGAGTGTGTGTTTGTGTGTGTGTGTGTGGGGAGGGGTGGGGGTTGGTGGGGAGACAGAGAGAGAAAGAGTGTGTGTGGGAGAGAGAGTGTGTGTTTGTGTGTGTGTGTGTGTGGGGAGGGGTGGGGGTTGGTGGGGAAACAGAGAGAGAAAAAGTGTGTTTGTGTGTGTGTGCTTGGGAGACAGTTTGCACGTTTTCCCCGTGTCTGTGCGGGTTTCCTCCTGTTTCTTCCAACAGTCAAAAGATGTGCAGGCTGGGTGAATTAGCCATGGGAAATGCAAGGCTATAGGGAAGGGAGTGGATCAGGGAGGGATGTTTGTTGGACTTGATGGGCCAAATGGTCTGCATCCGCACTGTAAGGATTCTATTCTATGGAACTGACTCAAAGTAAGGGAGCAGGTTTTTCAAAGACATCAGATGTTTGTACGGTATCTAAAGCTGCAGACCTGTGCTAACATTATTGCCGGTGTACTGCTAGATCAGTTGGACAAAGTCAAAACAGCATCATTCACTATTTCATGAGGTAATTTAGCAATCTTTAACCGATTGACATGGAACAAGAGAATCAAGGAGACACGGTGACACAATCTAATTGAAACACTGTCAATATTTGAGTGGCTTGTCAGTAATCATTCAACTCAGCAGGCCATGACTGCTTAGCAACTGGCAAAATGATGGATGATTACCAATAGTGGAGAACAGCATAGCCATTAAACAAGTACTGAACAACTAGAAACAAGCTAGGAAACAGGCAACAGAGCTTTGAATGAGCTCAGGTTTGTGAAGGGTGTAAGGTGTGACATTAGTAAGTGTTCAGCAGAAGGGGGTCGAGTTCATGAATTGTGCACAAGGTTACCATAAATAAGAATGAAGCAAATTAAAGTTGACCATGGCCATATCTCTATTCTTTAATGCCCCCCCCCCAACCTTCTCAGATCTGCCCAGTCAGGCAGATGATATGGAGGTGCTGGTGTTGGACTGGGCTGGACAAAGTCGGGAGTCACACAACACCAGGTTATAGTCCCAACAGGTTTATTTGAAAACACAAGCTTTCGGAGAACTGCTCTTGTCAGACCTGAGGATGGAGCAGTGCCCCGAAAGCTTGTGATTTTGAGGAGTGCTCCAAAAGCTTGTGATTTCAATAAACTTGTTGGACTATAAACTGGTGTTGTGTGATTTCTGACTCAATCAGGCAGAAGCAGAC